ATAGAATGGATTTCTGTTTCTTACAACCAAAAGTGGCCTACTTGCTACAATTATTTTCTATTATTTTATAAATATTTTAACACCAAAATGTCAGGTAGACTAGAACCTCTTTTTTTTTTTTAAAGGAGTATTTAGTGTGTGCAGCTCTAAGTCCTTGATACACAATGCTAGGGGAAAAAAAGAGACCAAATCACCGTTTCCATAGGGCTTAAGTTTCAACAAGAGTATAAATATAAAAATAAATTTCAGGCAATGACAGTTTGAAATAAGACTATAAAGTGAAGGAGATAAACGAAAATGACGATAGTGTCATTGTGAAAGGGTGGTTTAGAAAATAATGATTGTCTGAGAACATAGTATCTCACCCGAAATCGGAAAGGATGAGAATGAGCCATTTTCATAGTTTCAGGAAAAAAATTCCAGGCAAAGGTAACAACTCAACCTGAAGTCAGAAACAAGCCATGACATTTTGAAGGCATAGATGGAATATAGTGGACAAGGGGAATGTTTGAAAAAGTAGTAAAAGTGCAAAAGATTTTAGAGGAAAAGATATGTTTGTGAAACAGAGGTCAGATCATGTAGAGGAACTAGTAGGCAGTGGTTTGAAAACAACTTGAGCTTTACTTTAAAAATCACTATATATAGTCCTTAATTTTCATTTTTACTTGCACTTGTGTTAACTTCAACAGACCATTAGAAACAATCACCTCCAAGTATTTAACACAATTTTGAGTTAAGCCAGGAAGAACATTTCCGAAGGGGGAGAAAAGAAAAACCTCTTCTGTATTATTATTTTAAAGAATGTTAGGACAAAAACAAAGTGGTCTTGAAGAAGGGGGAATGACAGAAACCATTCCAATCTCTTTTTAAGTATTAACAAAAATAAGCAGAACCATTTACTTTAAGGATTAATGTTTTTCTTCAAAATGATTTAATCACCCAAAACTACTCTAAATTCTGTTCTGTTATTAAACTGAATGACTCTACTATGACCGAGACTATTCAATAGTTTAAGTTAAGGGCATAAAATCTTAAGTTCTTTCTAAGGTACTATAAACAAAACACCCTTTCTTCACTATTCCCCACAATTAATTGGAATTGGACACTGACAAGGTTAAAATACTATTAGAAGAGACAAAATGAAAAGCAGATGCCTGACCACATTGTGTCTCCAAATAATAGACACAGCTCAATTGGCAACAAAGTTCGGATTTTAACCTTATCTCTATTACTATAACATCCTCTCTGTTTTGAAGTGAAATATAAGGGATGCTTAAATATATCCTCCTCTATCAACTCATTAAAATAGGAGGCCAATCTGTTTCTAAAAATTTGGATATAGGTCTTCTCAAGCAGAAGACGGCATACGAGATGTCGAGCAGTGACTGGAGTTCAGACGTGTGCTCTTCCGATCTATCTGGAGAGACTACCCCTTATGCTCCCAGGATGGATATAGTACACCTATGACACTATGTGATAGTCTCTCCAGATCTTTCCAGATAGTTAATAACTCTGTATACTAACCATGTAATTAAAATGTACATTGCTTCTCAAAGATGGGCCATACATTTCAGCAACATCTTTAAAGATGGAGCACCCAATGCAACAATACTGAAGGCAAGGATAAACAAGTTAAACTACATCAAGTTAAAGAGCTTCTGCACAGCAAAAGAGACATTACAAAAAACAGACATCCCACTGATTGAGAAAAAAATTTTCTCACACAAAACTATCGATAAAGGATTGATCACAAAAATATACAGAGAACTGATGAAACTCAACAAAAA